GACAACTCCTTCACTTTGTAATCAGAACCCATAACTGCAAATTGCAAATCGTCTATAGTGTTGCTCTAATGTTGACAAACAGCTTCCCTAGTGCGTGTCAGACAATACAATTTGATGAGTAAAAGTGTTTCAGTTCACTGTCAGCATTTATCCAATCGTACATAAATGGCTGTGCTTCAGACAATATATCATTTTTGTTATAATAAAAAATAAAAGAATTACAAATGCTGCATTGTTAGGGGGCTGTGGAAGGCAGACATGCTATTTGGGGAATTCAGGAATGTGGAAAACGAGAATCAATAACATTCAAAGAACATTCTCTCTTTCCCTTTTAAAATATCAAGGCAGGGTTTATTTGAAAAGGAAAAGATGCATTGTGAAATGGCTCGATTTTTTTTTTCAATACTTTCAAAAGGTATTTGAATTTAGTTTTGTTGTATCAGTTATGTTCCCTGGTGTGACAAGGGAACATTTGTTCCTTTCTTTCTTCTTCTTTCAGTTCCCCTTCATCCACAGAAGCAGTTCACTCTTATATAAAGGCGTCTCGTCACCGCTCTCTAAAGATGATCTTTCAGTATCTTTAGCTGTAGAGCATTATAAAACTGAAGCCAATGCGATACAAAAAAAAAAAGTTTATTAAGAGGACTAAACATTTAGCTCACATTACCTCAAAATGTTTAAGAAGAGAAATGTGTCCGTTTTACATAAGCACCAATGGTCCAGAGCTACTGTGGATAGTTTTTGAAAGATCAGTGAGAAAAAGAATGTACCGTATGGTGGAGTTTAGTTTACAAAGCAATCTTTAATGTAATCAATACAATGTGAAACTACATTAACTCAGAATAATAAACAAGCCATGGATGATGGCAACATTAATCGAAACAAAGAAATATACTGCTGAATATTGAGAGTTAGAGGCTCGTCCAGGCCAAGCCAAACATCCATCATCATCACAATCTCTCCCTTTCTGTGTGTTGCACCCGTCATTACTGGAGCTGGTGCAGATTCACTCTCCGTTAGTAGTTTTTGACTCCCAGTATACATATTTCACGAGCGATCTATCATTCTCTGTTGTCCCTGTCTCTTATTAGTACAGCTCTCTTTTACCTGGAAACCGACCCGTCTGCACCTCCACTGAAAATGATGGAATGGCAAGTGGTTATTAATTTATTTGCTAAGCACAGACAGAGAGCATAAAAGAGCAGCCGTATATAAGATAAGAGTCTGAATTCCCTTAAGTGAGGTTTACTTTGTCAAGAGAACAGAAGGGGAGAGAGAGAGAGAGAGAGAGAGAGAGAGAGAGAGCGAGAGAGAGAGAGAGAGAGAGAGAGAGTGCGGTGTGTCGTCGCGAGGGGGGGGGGGGGGGGGGGGGGGGGTAGTGAAACATGACAGACAGAGAAAAGGAATGACTTTAAATTTGGACAGAAGAAACAAAAAGTTAAAAGAAGAAAAAGAAAAAATCTCAGAATAAATATTGCTGGTGCAGTGGAGCGTACCAGCTTGCGAGACAAACTGTATGGAAATACTGGTTTGAAAGGCAGCATGCGGGCTGTTTCCTAGTGCAACATTTACAGTTACGGCTGACAGATTCAAATGTGCAGTTTATATACCTAACAGACCTACATGAACCTATGTAGATAACACCGCCGACCTCCACTCGGCCTCCGTAAATCACCCTTCCTCTCCTGCCAAATATCTGACCTTTGAACTGTATCTCACTTGCATTATCTGGATTTGTGTGTGCGGATTGCTGTGTGCTGAACATACACAATATCCTAACATAAACATGGAGCAGCAGTTGTTAACAGCCCTGAAGTGAGAACCTTATTGCCACCAATAAGGGGCAGCCCCAGCCAAGCTTGTGACAACTAGCAAAGGTCAGAGAGTGATGAGTGTCAGTTTAACACACGTTATGTGAGCTATAAAAGCCTCAATTGCATCCGCAGGGCACCAATATATCAAGTAATATAACCGTGAGACGACACCAAATTCAAGTTAAGTCAATAACATGTTATTTGAATTAGGTGCCAATAAATTATGATTAAAGCCCCTCTTATGTATTGAATTTATTAACGGCCATAGAAAATAAATTTCTGCTGAAAATGTCCAGCTGCTCATCAGGCCACTGAAGTCAAGTGTCTTCCCAGCACTGCGTCTCTGAAGCTAAGCAGATGCTACGAACATGGGACAACAACAGTAGCCGCCCAGAAAGTGGAGACAAAGACAAAGAGTCCAAGCACTCACCCCGTAAGGCTTTACTGTGATCACACCCTCAGACAGCTTGTCTACTTAGAGAAGCAAGGAAGGAGTGCAAAGCTGCATAAACACAGCTCTTTGTGAACAATGTAATCAACGCTAATTGAGAGCGTTCTATCTGTTGCTGGAATCACTCGAGATGCTTTGGTACCAGATTGGATATTGGGCAGATACTAACTCAAATAGCTTGATTGGATATCGGGGACAATGGGGCCCATTTGTTTGATTCAGTTACTATACATTATATACTGGCATTTTGATTACTGCATCACTAGAAAACAACATTTCCCATGAGCATGGAAGTTACCAGCACAAAGTTTGCACAGAAAAACTCTTCAACGGAGACATTTTAAGGCCAACTACGGGGAATTTGTGTTATTATTTTAATGATTGAACCGAGATGGAAAACTTTCTGCCCGCGTTCTGTCTAAAGATAGATGATGTGCTTTGCTCTGTTGTGGTCTGCATGGCTGTGAAAGTGGATTAAAAAAAGGCTTTAACATCAAGACGAGCCCTAATGAAACCCAATGGGGGCGTTAGCCTGTCTGTTTGGCCAGCTGACTCCTGTAAAATCCCCATCACTGTCTCCTGTTGCCTGCTCTAAAAGTAGCCTAGTGGTGCCAGTCAGTGCAAGCTGCGGCCTGAGGGTTATAGCCTACTGTTTGATGCTTTTTCAGGATCATAGAGAAGCTAAAACTCTCTATTTCACTTAATAATACATGTTTATTGCATATTCTTGTGTTTTTTTGTTGTCTTTCTATTCAATCTGCCATTTTTAAACCAATAACACAGCAGTGTCTGTGTCAATCTTTCCCAAAGACATCTAACACACTCCCATTTAAAACTAAAATGAGTTGCACCATATCCATATTATTGCTTTCAAGGACAACTCAACATTTTGGGAAATATGCTTTTTTGCTTTATCGGCCAAATTAAGATGTCTGCACTGTAAATATGAAGCTACAGCCGGATCCTATTAGCTTAGCTTATCCACAAAGACTGGAACTGAGGAGACCGCTACCCTGACTTTGTCCAAAGGCAAAACAATCTGAGCACCACAACTTGTGGAATTTACTCTTGGGTTTTTGAAAGGAATAAACAAATAGTGTGTAAAGAGTGTATCGATCATTTCATCTGGCAAAAAAGCAATACAAGTATTTCACAAGATTATTCCTTTGATGATGAAACATCGGGAAAAACACTGACTTTATGTTCCAGTAAACTATAGCAGAATAACACCCCATATATCACTTACAAATGGCAGGTTAACTTTGCACAGTGTACATTATTATTTTTCCAACATCATTGGTACATATTGACAAGCTTGGGACCAATAAACCAAAAGCGTCTGTGCCAACAAGCCACTGTGTGCAGCACCCACGCAAAACCACAGGTACAGCAGAGGGTAAAAGCAAAGACATTTTCATCCCACTTCAGCCATGTACACCCCAATGTCACAAAGTGCTATCCTCCACCCAAAGCCCATCTGGAAAAGGCATAATGATGATCAATACGAGAGTAGCAATGTGCAAAACAAAACCATCTATCAAGAGAGGTAAGACTGAAAAAATATCGGTCAACCAATATTGACCGTGGCTCAAACAATACATCAAGCCGCGAAAGCTCCATCGCTGCTCACCTTTTCTCTCTCACCCTTTCCTTCAAGTGTCTCTTTTTCTGAACGTCCCCCACTGCGTCTCTCCCCACAGCAGGCAATGGAAAGTCATAATCATCTAAACACATTCCTGCTCCACCTTTAACAGACTAGTAACAAACCGTGCATTCACCACGACATGGAACTAGACTGCACTGTTCCCTAACAATGCCTGTGTTGATATATGAATAGAAAAACACGCTGGTAGTGTTGATACGTGCAACATATTCAAATGTTATACTATGGGGGTTTGCAGCCATGGAGAAAATAGTTTGTGATTCATATTTGGCTACTGTATTGTCAAACTTTAACTCCAGCCTCTGTGATAAAGAATGGCAGCCGTGGACTAGAAGGAATAATATTTGCACCATGGTACAGATGCCATTCCCTCTGCTCTTACTCATTATCCAGCACAATGTCAAAGTACCCATAGGCCACCAAGAGGGAACATTCCTTCACATTGCCATCTATGGGCATCATAAATAAACAGTCCACTTGCCATGTAAGGACACAATTAATTTCCTCCTCTGTCCACAACAATGCAGTAACAAATACTTTATATCTGATCTCTATGATTACAAATCTTACTCGAACAATAGCCCCTTTGGTAACAATGCTTTTCTTCTTTTTCATTTACTTTGACTTTAGAGGTTTTCGGATATGAAAACAAATATTTTGTCCGTGTTTTTAATTAACTTCACAGATTTGCTTGAGAGGCCACGTAGCCTTTTTGGAGAAGCAGCATCTGAAGAGTGCAGAGCGCAGAGGGGTTGGGCAGGGATGCTGAGCCGAGCAGGAGGGTATGCGGGGAGACAGCGGCAGCACTTGTTTGCCAAACTTGAATTTAAAGAAAAGCACATCTAATGCGACCTTCCAATAGTATCCTGAATATAGTATGAGCATTGTGGACAAGTAGCCTCATCAGTAGCCTAAAATTATGTTGTGTCTGCAACTTCAAAGTGCAGCGTTGTGCGGCGAAAACGCGTGGCAAAATAAAGCAGCCGGGAACCGGTTCTGGGAGTAAAACCAGATACTTTACTGAGACACAACATAATAAAACTTTCAATTTTGTTGTCTTATTTTCACCTACCTCATAACATTCAATAGCGCGCGGGTCAAAAGCAGCAGAAGCAGATGTGGAAATGGCAATCCAGTCAAAACTTGTCACGGGTCCCCGTTTGGCACAGCAGCAGTCGGCTACGGCAGTCCAACCTGATCACATCTGAAGCGCTAACGGTTCACGGCTAACTAGGCTCGCCTTCGACCGTCACCAAGCCGTAGATCGGACGGCGATGTGAGGAGCACTGCGGGATCTCCAAGGGCGCACGAAGGATCACTGCGTCAGGATTGGCCAGCGCGGCCGTGACGCACCGGCAGGTGGCACACCCGGCGAATAAAGAAGTCCAGTTTCATTCATAGATAATAGCTCTGCGCTGTGGGAGCTCAACACGCACACTGGCAGATGCAGACGGCAAAACTTCATGCGAGATCAGAATGGTCAGGGTCCTCCTTATTTCATCTCTGTCTCCCTACAAGCGTCTGCGCTATATCCGTTTTAATAATGGGACATTGTCATCACCCAAAGCTGCAAGCTGTTTCATTTTGGCACAACATACCGCTATGTCATTTGGCACAAGCAATGTCCTGTTTTATAATCGCAGTCTCTTTCCAAAACTGATTCTGCTGCAATTTAAAAACACAAAAGAGAGCTTCTATTTTATTTATTTTTTGCAAGCAAATGATCTCTTTTCCCGACAATCAAGCTGCCAAAAGAGGTACAAATGATGCGTTTTTAAATGATTTTTTTGCTATTCTTACTGATAGGGCTAAGGAGAGAAGAGGAGGATGAGGGAAAGGGGATGAGAAAAGCAGTGAAGTTGCAGACTTATTCTGGAGACACTTACACATAAAACTATATGGAAGTGTTAAATCAGAGCTGAAAAAAAAATCATCATTTCACTTGTTTACTTCACCCAATGTGTGGGGGGGGGGAAAACAAGGCAAGCGGAAACTGAATGTGTTTTGACACTGAGCGTTATTCAAGGAGCCAAAGCAAACGTTTTAATGTTTTTTTTTTAAAAACACAAATAAGGGGAGAGTGGTAATCCTTGGAGGAATGTGTAAGCCAATTACGGCTGGCTGCAGGGAATCATGGAATGGAGCCTCGGAGCTTCCTGCTCAGACTCACTGCAGAGCCTCGGACCACATTTCCTGTTCCCAGTACGCGGGCAATATCAAATACAGAACGGCTGGAGACATGAATGGAATACCGTGCCGACTTCCTCCGACATTTACAGGGCTCTCATCATCCTAATGCCTTGTAGGCTATTTGACACTGTGTCTGTGTGTACTTTCTCATTCAGCGGCTTGTTTGCATCCTGTGAGTGGGGAACCAGTCCTTTCCACTAGGACACCGGTGTATATGAATGTGTGAGCGTGTGTATCGGGTAACATAATGTGACTGTTGTATGTAGATGGCTTAGACACTTGCCGATTCTGGTTGGTTAATTTTGGAGGTTCATGTTGATTGTGCTGTGTACTCATATAACCTCCCTGATATTTGCTAATCTGCGAGTATTAAAAGAATCTAGCATATCATGCAAAGATGTAAAGTAGAGAAGAAAGAGACAAATAAATCAAGATAGAATGAGGGCAAATATTGACATAAAAGACAATTCATTTTATTTCAGTGTTTACTATGCCCAGGCTGATAGAGCAAACATTGAATATGAAGGCTGCAAATGACATCTGGGGACATGATCATGATGCAATATATAAACCGTACCCGAAGTGTTAATAGCATACAAGTAGAGAAATATGTAATGAAATATAGTGTCAGACATCTCCAAGTGAGATACACAGTTAGGGTGGTGTCAGGATTTATTTTTTCACATCATAAATAATAAGATGGTAAAGAGAAGCCAGTCAGCGGTTCTAGTCCAGCACACTTGCTATGTGGGCCTCGATAAACACACTCTGAGCTGAGCCTCAACATTCACCTTCCTGCAATTTCACACTGTCTGATTCCTGCATGAACTGCATGAACACACTGATAACCAAGTCACAGTAGCCCACTGGTCTACAGAGACAGCTTTTACTTCATAATGGCCTCTTCCATCCAACTCCCACTCTCAAGAGCATCGGCTAAACACCCAATTACAAGGACATAATGTGGAAACATTGAAATTACCTTTTACCTATACGTAAAAGCTGAAAATCGTCTTTGCTTTTGAGCTGAAAAAATAAACAAGGTTCGATACACAATCAGAGCAAGATTTAGATCCTAACAAAAATAATATATACTTCTCCTAAAAAGATTTTATTTCATCTACAGGAAATAAAGTTCAGTGAAAAAGAGGAAAACGCTTTGCCCACAAGGTGCACCGCAGGACAAGAGGTGCAGTAAACTGTTATGAACAAGTTGTCAGAAAGAGAAGACTCAGTTGAGAATGAGATAAAATTCACATTTTTATAATATAAGATAATAAAGTTAATACAGGGCTGCCAGCATAACTTAAACCTAACTTCTCCATTACTTGAGATAGTAAATGTTTACAGCTTCTTGCACACGACAGATACAACTAGACTGATCATTAAATTATAGCGATCGCATGAAAAATCTATGTGAATGATAACAGAAACGTTTTAGAAACATAATATTCTCCTGAGAACTTCTAATTTGTGCCTGAGTAACAGCATGTAATGGGAAAGATACCCAAGAAAGTAAGTTTGACCAGACAAAAAAAAACTCAAACACTGAATAGGCTCCATTTCATTTTAATATTTGGTAATTTGAGAAAAAAAAAAGACAAGTTGCAGCATGAAAATATCATGCATCACTGCTTATGTTTCATATTAACCACGGTTGGGGGTTATTCAGGGTTAAAATATTGTCTGCCTGATCCTACATTTTTCATAGCGTGAGTAATTCCACCGATGATTACAGCTCAGACATACTGAGAGAAAGCTTTAGAACCTCATGTTGACTAACACCCTCGGAAAAAACACATCTGCACTGATCAACAAATTACCATCACTTAGAACTGTTTATCACATTTGTTTACATAACCATACTTTTAATATGCACTCGGGCAGCATTTACAGAGAGGAAAATGAATACATATATTTTCATATTGTGATGCTGGTTGAGTACTGGTGCAGATGACGTATTGAATACAACTAGTTTTCTGGAGGGTTTTTCAATTTAGAAGAAGTGTTTTTTTTCCTGAAAAATAATTGGAAACCAATACCCCCAGGGTGATTTCTATGTGTGTGTGTGTGTGTGTGTGTGTCCGTATCCTTCCTTGAGATGTGCAATGAGATAAGAGCATCTTATTTTTCTCGTTTCTTTTTCAGCATTTCTCTCATTTCCAACATCTGCCTTCATTCAAACAGTTGTCTTACCTCAAGCATTCAGTCCAGTATTGTCCCTCTTATATCTTATGCCATCTCTTCCTCCCTCTCTTCACATGAATTAAAAACCTACATCCTCTATTTCCAAAGAATTCTGCATTTTCATAGACATTTTAGCACCGAGCTTGATCACAGCCTGACTTGTCATCCCCAATGTCATCCCTGTCCTTTAGCGAGTTGTCAATAGAATATACAAGTAGGCACAGTCTCTCACTGTCTCCCAGCAGAACTTATTTGACTTGCGGCCTGTCAACGGGATCTTCAGTCAATCACAATGAAAGCTCTTCATAGTGTAGATTGCTACACAAAATATCTGGCTGTATATGCGTGCTTTGAAACTCCTCATCCCAACTCAGATGAGCAGAAACAACTGGAAACACAACTAGGGATTCAAAATGTATTATTCATTGGGTAAATACGGGGAGGGCAACATGCTGTAAATCAACAGCTCTGGTTCAGTAGCAAATTAGTTACAGGAGCTGTATTTAACATTCTGAACATTAATATAGCAGCAAACAACTGTCTATGTAAAGATGTAGTGGAGTAATGTCTACCTGAGCAAAAAATGAAGTCACTCTCCCTCTGTGTGTGTTGTTATCTGAGCTTCTCCTTGCTTTGTTGAAAAAGCTGGAATGGCCGCGGGTGCTTTTAGTGCATTTTAGTGCACGTGAGCGTACCCCATTGGTTAGCTCATGGCTGGCGGTTATAGCTGATAACGCCATCCCGACAGAGCGTCGTCCCGGTAGCGTAGCACTCACCCTCCGGTTCGTACTCATGTAAACATTGTGAGCTCTCTCAGCCCTTATGCCGTATTTTGCACTGTTAGCGCTGTCAGCACTGTTAGCTGTGAGCCGCAGGCTCGGCTTCAACGTGGTGAGAGCCGTTGTGAGGCAATCCATCTGCTTCCAAAGTAAGGAAAGCATTTAAGGATGGAGACACCACTTACATTTGGACTCGGGAAATGTATGGGTAATGAAGAGAGAAATGGTGAAATCTCCAGAAAATAAATAAAAGAATCTGCAGAGGCTGAGATATCCTGACTTTTAGTCACAACATCCCTGGATCGTTCACTTCCTGCAATGACATGTGATAGCGTCATTCATTACATGTTCCCTGACTGAAAAACTGCAACATTTCTCCACACCTCTAGCACGTAGTCTCAGGCTAGATCAAAAATCACTATGATGCAGGGGATTTACCATGAGGGTTATTTTTTTCAGACTTTAGAAAGCTCCACAGGCGACATTAAATAACAATTGTCATAGTCTGAGGAGCACTTCTTATAACAAGTATACTTCATGTGTGAAATCGGTGAGGTACCCCTTTAAAAATGTTTAATTTCCACTTCCTGTCATCAGTGTGACTCAAAGGCTCATATAATATCACCCTGATCCACAGACACTCAGAAAATCAGAGTGCTCTTAATAACGACATGCTTTCATCGTCAGACTCAAGGTGAAGGAGCTGCCACCACCGCTTCATTGCGATGTATGTTACTCAGACGACTCTCCAAAAATCTCACCTATTCTTCTCAATGGAATCAGATGAAATTGAAATGACGTGACCTGAGGAGCAGCATACAAACACAATCAGCCCCCCCCACTCGCCCTGTGTCTCCGGGTCCCATCTGTCATCAGTCAGCAGCTATTCAGTCAGAACAAAAGTCAGATTATTGAGGGTTTTAATTATGCTGAAGGTCTAAGCTAATTAATTATCACTATCAGTGGTACGGAACATCCCTTTAGATAAAGAAACCAAATCTAATTATCTTTTGACCTCCCTCTCCCTCCCTTCAGTAAGCTCCTCAGCAACTGTACAGTCAACACACAACACGCGTGAACTTGAACGTCAGACATTAATACTCCGCAAAATTTGCACTGCAGAACTCTGCAATGAATTGGGTTCGCTGGCATTCATTGTCTCTCAAACACACAGGGGGGTAGACTGAGGCTTTTCCATGCTTGAGATAATTTGCCAGCATGGCTCAGAGCTTTGACAGACCCAGTTGGACTAATTCCTCCTTGAGCCACAAAAACGGGGCTTTCCCCCCATTGAACAACACAATGCATAAATCACTTGTTTGTGTCAGTATGCCATGGCT